GTTGGACTTTAGGAATAAAAGGAAAATTTCTTTCTCCCTTCGTCTGTTTTTCTATGGCTGTTACTCTGATTTGGTCCAATTAAACATTTAATTCCTCTGTACATTCACCAGGTACATAAATACAAATTTAAATTTAAAAATTGGTGAGTAACATCAGTTTCAAACATCAGAGTACATTTTAAAACATCAGACTATGCTCACATGATAGTGATTATAGGGTAGATATCTATCATACAGTTCTACATGAATTTTACTCAAAAGTAAATCCCAGGATTTATTATTATTTGTAGGAACTATGGGCTGCCAAAACAATTCCTTTGGTCCTCATGTATTTCTCACTCACGCATCATACTAAGTCATGGATTTTTAACTGCACCTTATGAAAAGCACCTGTAAGCCAAGGTTCACCCAACAGACCAGGGCTGTCAAACTCCCAGTCCACAAGCCAGATGTGTCACGTGCTGGCCACTCCCTTGCCTGGTTTAGCGGGGGGGGGGGGGGAAAACGGGGGAAGTCCCGATACATCATATGATGCCATAGTGATGACGTGAATTTGACACCCCTGCAACAGACTAAACCAAAATCAGGTAGTTTAATCACCTACTTTGTTTCCTCTGCCCTGACTTTTTGTAAGTTTCAATATATGAAGTATTTTACAGGGTTTCTATATGACAAAATCTTCCAAAAAAACTGGATGAGATTTAAAAAATGGCAGATCATCAAAATAATGAAAGTTAAGCTCCATACATAGTGAAGCAATTTGGAGGGACATTGTTACAGATTATTATCTTTCCATTTTCAATGTAGGATGGAATAGATTTAAGTGACATAAGGCATGTCCAAATCCTACTCCAGGTCCACAAATGGAGCTAACTAGTTAACTATGAATGCATTTTTGTTAAGTGCCACTTGTGAACCAAGCCACTATGATTTACAACTATGTCTTATGATGTCTTAAATCTTGTATGTATATCAGGCTGCTGTATCTTACTCAACATTCCATGGTTAAAACATTGTATAGTACACCGGATGAACAAGTCATCAAGTACAATACAACTTATTTTGGGTAAAGCTTATAAATACAATGATATAATGTCCTTGTTAATTTGTGTAATTTAAGATGGAAAGCTAAGTGAGGGGTTACATATAATATAATCAATTGTGTTTCTTAGTAAGTTTGTAACAGTAAGTAATTCTTCAAATTCTCCTTAATTCCAGACAATTTTTTTGATATGGTTAGGAAGAGAAACAGGTAAAAGACTGATCAATGCATCTCCACGTGTACTTTTTTTAAAAAGAGAATATTCTAGATTTTGGATTACCATAGAAGGGATCAAGGTGACAAGGGTTATGTAGTTGATTTTGGGCTAGTTAGCGTCGTTCGGTGTAACACTTCTCAAAGGATTGGTGTGGTGAGAATAAAATAAGAAAATACCCTCAAGTGTGCTACACTCAACTTGCAAAAAAAAGTGGTAATTAAGAAACAACGTAAACATAAGAATTATCCATTCATTACTGAATCTGTTCAACTCACAAAAAATCTAATTAAATTAACAACTGTGTTTAAATTAAAATTTCATAATGATGACCAATAATTTATTAAAATTTAAAAGGCCAATTTCCTCGACATAAAAGTAAGCCAAATCCCAAATCAATTTCAAAGCCTTATTGTTGCTGGGAAAAGCATGTCATTAAAAGATTTGACCACTAAGTGGCAATCTTAGCTTGTGCCAAAGTAAAAACAAATATAAAATCTTCCCCACCCACTCCAGCGCATTGCAGATACCTGATCTTAGAACAAAAATGTAGGTGGCAACTCAGACCACCAATATCATCATAGATAAAGGATGGAATTTATGATATGCTATAATAAAAATGAAAGATCAGCAGGAATAGATTTTTTTTAAAAAAAAATCTTGTCAATAGGAATAAAGGATGAAAAAAACAAGGCAAGGAAATCCTGGTGAGACTGGCTTTCAGGAATACTTCCCAACCCTTTTACCAGCAGCGGCCATAGGAAACCCCTGTATTTTCTTTTGTGTCGTAATATGGGATGGGGGGAGGTTATGCATGTGTGCTTTCACATCTTCTCCTAGGGACATCAGTGTCTAATCATCTGTACATACTGTTGTATATGTTTGTCTGGAACAGTATAATCAATGTGGGTTCCTTTCTGGTTTGTGTGCATGTGGGGATGTGTGTTTATGTATTTGCTGCACCCCATTTTGTGTTGTCTTTGTCAATATGTGCCCTGAAGGTAAAGGATCAGCTGTTTAGGAATGCGGTTCTTATTCTTTCTAAAACTTATCCTGAGTTAATTCATAATCAGTATTTTGTTATAAATATCTTAGAACAGGGGTGTCAAACTCAATTTCATTGAGGGCCGCGTCAGGGTTGTGTTTGATCTTGGGGAGCCGGGATGGGGTCACTCATGTTGGAGGTGCCTGTGGCAGCCCAAGCACTCTGCCAGTGAAAATGAGCTCCTGAGCTCCATTTTTGGCTGCAGTGGCCTCCTTTCAAGAAGAGATTGGACTGCCATTTGTCAGAAATGGTGTAGGGTCTCCCGCTTGGGCGGGGGGTTGGACTAGATGACCTACAAGGTCCCTTCCAACTCTGATTATCTGTCATCCTGTAATCCTCTGCCAGTAAAAATGGAGCTCAGGAGGGCTGCCCACAACCCTCCCTAACTCTGTTTTCGCTGACAGAGGACAGAGACAGTCCTTCGCTGTTTCCAGGGTAGCCCTGTGGACCAGATCTAAGCACCACGTGGGCCAGATCCAGCCTCAGGCCTATCTTATAAGAACCATGTTGGTTCAGCCAAATGCATATTTATTCCAGCACGTTGTTCCAGAAATCATCAAGATTCAGATGAATTGGGTAAATCCACACAAAGAAGACATGGATATAATAGCACCCTTTTGCCTGATTTCCCTAGTAATGTATTAACTGTGCCTTATGGGCAAAATATGAGATGTAAATAATAAAAGTAAGACATATTTCTTCTGATACTGGAAAAAAATACACAGTCATCATTTGTAGTAGCCACAATTAATTTATGAAAATCAAACTTTGTTTAAAGCCACCCAACTTGATAACTATTATATTTTAGAGTAAATTATAAAATCCCATCTTCTTTTATTGGTTATGGAGCTTCAATCGTTCATCTTTAATCAGTGACTCAGACTCTAGTTATTATGTAAGAGAGATTCCCTTTCTCCACATTTTCTGCACCATGCATGAATTTAAATATTCCATAAAAATGTATTTATTGCAGTGCAAACTATTATAAAAACAAGAGAGCATGCATAAATATATCTTTCTACGATTAAAAGTAGTATTATTCTACGATTAAGGAAAAAAGAGTACATCAAAACATATAAGCTTCACATGACTTTATGGTTTAATGATTGTTTCATATAAACTGATTTATTTTAGCAACATGTTTCCCTAAGTATTTTATTGTGCTTTACTATGTCCTGCCAATTTTGCAAGTGGGTGGTATAGAACATTGGCAGCTGTTACATACAAGTTGGGTTGACAAAATCAGAAATGAGGAGGTTATAAGCCACCTGGAAAACCCAAGGGAAATCATCAAAACCATAACAAAGCAAAAGTTAGAATATTTCGGACATGTGATGCGACACCCAGAAAAATACGTCATACTTCACTTAATCCTCCAAAGAAAGATTTAAGGCAAACAAGGTCCAGGCATAAGAACAGTATCATGGCTCCAAAATCTAAGGGACTGGTTTGGACAAAACTCAACAGCACTTTTTCGTGTGGCTGTTAATAAAAATTGGATCGCCAACATGATCACCAACGTCCGATTATGGATATGGCACAAGAAGAAGATAATCCAATGATTCAAAAAATGTATCTGTCCTCCCTAAAAACTCAAATTCTGAACTCTCTTTTCCCAGCCTGCAATATCATAACAATAAAACAATCCCTTAATAAATGCAGTTTGTAGAATTTAGAACCTTGATTAGATACTTCAATAATAATGGCAGGATAACCACTTCCTTAAATTCACAGAATAGCTGATAACTGTTTCCACTTTTCTCTCTAACCAAATTGACAGGGACACACATTCTTGCTTTTCATTTTGTATTATACTTCCAAAAGAAATATGTTGCACTAACCTAGATTAAAAACTATAATTAAGGACTATTAAGCAATCAAATCTAAGTAATGCAAATCACTCTATACCCCCAACTCACTTGATTATTGACCAAACAGAAAAGTTACCTTATTTCTTTAAGGGGAAAGTAATCTAATCCCTGGATCATTTGCCTTGCACTTATTTACAATATCCTTGTAATACTCTATCGTATTAGTTCAAATCTGGTCACACTTCTGATTTATGCAGAATAATTAGGATACTATACATTTCCGATGTCTTCCCTAATCTTCAATATGAATGTGTTAATTGCTTTTTTTCTTGACATAAATAGACATTTATTGGGGGATGAGCATAAAGCCTTAAGATGGTTTTCTTGATTGATAATAACAGCGTCTAAGATGCCTTGCTTCAATATTTATGTTTTAATGCATATACTGACCTGCAGTTGAGTGTCTATTTCCTATCAAATCAGTGTAAGTATAATTTATGTAAATGAACCCTGAAACCTTATGTTTGCATTGGTTAGGAAGAGAAAACAGGATATTGACACAAGAAAGAATAATACACGATTGGGAAAGTATTAATGCTACCCATTTTTCTGTTTATTTTATATTCATGTGGTTTTTTTTCCTCTCTGGGAAACCGAAGAGTTTTATTATCTTTATCAATAGGTTTATTTCTTTCATAGCATGCTAACTATACAGGATTTCAATAATGTCAGGTACAGACTTTTGTTAATAACACAATCTAGCTTTCCAATAAGATATTTATGAGCAAATAATTTGAGATAAAACCTATCTAACACAACATATAAATTATTAAGTAAATATTGGATTAGGATAATTAAATAAAGTCATGCTGAAGTCAATTCAATTACCTGAAATTGATAATTCAGTCAGTTCCTTTTTAGGCATCTGGTTCACATGGATACGTCAATAATTTACTTTAGAAATCTTGATTTAGAAATGCTTTATTGTGTGAAGGTTATATCATGTTAAACTATTATTTTTGATACATTTTAGCCTATTTTGGAAAAATCAATGCAGGTAATCCTCGTTTAGCAACCACAATTGGGACAGTTGTTAAGTGAAGTAGTCACTAACTGAAACCACAACTGTGCTTATGATCTTTACTTCCATGTTTCCTTTGCTTTATGAAGGTTGTTTGGGGATTGATCATAAAGTTATTTTTTCATTACTGTAGTAACTGCAAATAGTTGCTAAATGAGACAGTCACTAACTGAGAACTATCAATAATCCAAGAAATGTATATATTTCAGATAGCACAATTTAGGAATTCATTTTGAAAATGTATCTTGTACAAAAATGTCAGGTATAAACAACTAATACTAGAAACCAACATGTTTCACATTAGCTCTGGAAGTTTTGAATGTGTCAGCAGTAATTTAAGAACACTGAAGTTGCATATTTTGTTAAAATATACACTTTCCATTATTTAATTAGCTAATGATCTAAAATAAGCAGTTTTGATATTATATGTTTCAGCAGGTGTATAACTAAAGTGCTAATACATTAAGAAAATTTGAAGAGATCAGGGATCACAGCTAAAGACATATTCATTAATATGTATATATGAAGATTCCATTAATTTCAGAGAGAACCACATAGGGACAGGACCTAAATTTTTTGAATTGGGGTGTACATAAATAAAACAGACTAGATTTAAAAAAAATAAAAATAATATGCAGTTTACACTGATGTACTTGATACAATGACTATTTTCTTACCTGATAATGTATTTCTTTTAAATCAAGTTCTCCAATCTGTAAAAACAGAATTGTATAATCAATTACACCTCATAAGTAATGGTAATATGTACACGGACATAGACAAACCTTGTTCAAACATTTTCTTTGCCTTCACATTTTGTATGTGTTTTTATTGGGCCATCAAAAGTCTTGTTTACTATCAATATAGTTCAACATTCATAATCTTTTTTTAGATTGCATGAAGATATGCATAACAGAGAAAGAAGCATTTACCAACAGACCCAAAATATTACATGGATGTGTCTACATTTAGAAGAAACTAGACAATAAAGGATTTGCTTTGGCCAAGCCATGCATGCAAATGCATTGGAGAAGTCAATGATGTTAGGAATGGTTCCGTGGATCAAGAAGAAGGGGCCAAGCAAGGAACTCGCTGGCTTGATACCTTCAAAACTGATACTAAGATGAACATCCAACAACTGAAAGAAGCTGGGCTTCACAGGGTAGCATGGAGAACACTTGCCTATAAAGTCGCCAAGACTGGGACACCACTGAATGGTTAAAACTAAGACAATAAAGGGTCATCATTTAGAGATATTTCTTTGTTTAAATAGAGAAACAGAATGACCAAGAACAAAGAAGCAGTGAGAGTGGGATCAACTTCCAATTTCTTGCGGGCTTGACCATGGCTGATCACCCTGCATCAGCCAGTGGAAGAGGTCTACCTCTTCCTCTGGAGGTCCAGAGCAGGACTGGTCTACTGGTTCTCCAGGCGACAGAACAGCAGCATTGAAGTGACCACAAATTTGCCACATTTCAATCCCACAGGAGCCATGTGTCCTGGATTTTGAACCCATTCCATAAGTTAGCCCATTTGAGGTATCTTGATTCGAAAAAAATGTTGCCTTATGATGCACTGTTTCACCCAGTTAAAAGTTACTAGCACAAGTCATAATTGAGCGCCTGAATAAGCCACAACTGGTTGGATACAAACACCACAGTAAACCAGACAACAATAAACCACAGTCACCAGAATGCACCCAGTGAACTAAAGCTCAAGTCAACTAAACCGATTAGGGCTCAGTGCAAGGCATGAGCCAGATCACAGTATGTCACTTTAAAAATCCATTGCTACAACAAAAATTAAAAGAAATAATCAAGACAGAATGGCACATTACGCTTAAGAAATAAGCCTACTGGGTTTAATAGGATGGATTGTAAAACTAACAAATTCAAACCCTGGCACTTCTCATAATTCTTCATCTTTAATTCAATAAGTGTCATGATGTTTTTATACCAGCATCACTATCACTTCCCAAAATATAAATAGTTCCAAAAGAGGAAGGGCAAATTTCTGTATTGATACTACCCTAATTATATCCTGTAGGTCAGCATTTACTACAGAGGAAGTATACACATTCAGTAAGACTAGTTAGAAAATAGGGGAACTCTAGAAGTACACCAATGAGGAAATTGATGTAGCATTAAAAACTCCATGTTTTCAAATCATTATATGCATTTTTAAAAATCATTATATGCATTTTTAAAAACATTTCAACTACTAATATTTAAATTTAAAAACAAGGAACCAGCAATATCTTAGCATCACATACATCTGTTGATCCTGAATCAAAGTTTCTACAGATACATTATATTAAATAAAGTATGTCACACTAAAGATATGGTGTAAATCAAACAAATTAGTTAAAAATAAAATGTATAATGCATCCAGATTGTTAATGATGGGTAGTGTAATGTTTTCGTATTTGGTTTCCTACATCCATTTTAAAAGAGACCATCTGTCACAAACATTTATAACATACTCTTTAACAATAAAAAAGGAATGCAAAAAAAGGGTCTTCAGTATATCTAATGGGCCTGACTGCAGAATGAATAACTGAATGAATGATCAGGTTTCAGCAATTATTTAGGACTATATGAATGAATGATCGAATCAAAAGGGAATTTAAAGATCAGTTACCTTAATAACCTTTCCTTAATGATTCAAATGATAAAATTAGGAAGGTTTAAAAAATACATCAGTTAAACTGGGGCAGGAAGGAACCCTATGGCCTCCAGATTTTTAGACTTCTGTATCTCCAGATACCGAAGTCACACTATCTCAGGTATTTTTATCTGGAGCTGATGAGAAACTGAAAATTACAGACATCTAGGTGGTTGCTGATCTCCAATTATTTCACCCTCTATCCCAGTGGAGATCTGTTCACTGGTATGTTAGTACCTACTAGGTTTCTTGCACTTGATAGCTATCTAGCAGGAACTTTTCCAGGCAATTTCTGAGAATGGGATATAATTAAATGGAAGAAGAAAAAACTCTATAATCAATCTATCTATCTATCTATCTATCTATCTATCTATCTATCTATCTATAACACATGCCTCAAAAATTTAAAAAAAGGTAAAATGAATACTTGAAGTCGGTAAATCTGAGAAGCATTTTTACTAATTTGCCTTTTGATAAAGGAGTATTTAATGTTTGGATAAATTTACCAAAGCAGCTATTTGTGTGAGTACTCATATTAAACCAAAACAGTTATAGCTACACTACTGGTATTTTTTCAGGAAAAATAGTTTAATAAAAAAGTACCTCCCTCCCAAAGAATATATTAAACTTTGTAAACTCACCTGTTTAAAAATTCTCCAATTCTTCCTGGAGATCTGAGAAGAAAATGAAACCTGCAAATTTAAATTCAGAATGTTAATTTATTGTAATTAATTGGTTTAAGGAAATGCACTAGAAAAAAGGTAGACTACATAATATACATGCTGATAAATATCAGCAAGTGTTTAGTATTTGGAAGTCTTCCATCGATGTATAAGCTGATTAAGACACTGGGAACATTCCCTTCTATACAAATTATCTCATTTAGTGTTCTTGTAGTTTGGTATTACATTTAAAACATTCTTCCTGTGTCATTCTTAAAACTTTCTAGCGAACTTCCTTCTCTTTTCCCATATTAAATATACACTAAGAAAGTATTTTTTGAAATACAGAACAAGGATTATAGATGGGTTATTTCCAGTCAAAGCCTCAACCACTAAGCTCAAACATGTTCCGATAACTTGGTCATTTCTTGCTCATCACCCGTGATTCAGCTACAGTATTGCTGGCTGTTCGCAGAATCACACAGACAAGGTAGAAAGACCAGATTTATTTGATGTCTTGTTGAGTAAAGCTTAACCCAAATAAAGAAAAACAAGGGCCTTTCAGATCATTATAACTATAAGAACAACAAACCAGGGCACTTTCCAGGTAAAACTGAACTCCAATGTTTAAAACATCCCAGCAGGGGTACATTAGCATCATATTGCCACCTTCCTCCTCCTCCTCCTCCTCCTCCTCCTCCTCTTCCTGCCCCTCCTTATTCCACCCAGCTACAAATGACTCAGGGTGCTTCACAGATAGACAACATTAAAAGGAATAAACCATATAATAATAAACAAGATGACAAATCCGACAGGAACAAAAACAAAACCACACAACTTTTAAAGGGGCTTTCAGTTACCCTCACCAAAGGCCCAGGCAAGAACTGGTTCTTCAATGCTCTTCAAAAAACCAGCAGGATGGGGGACCACTAGGCTCTCATGGGAAGCCTCATTCAGAGAAGGCAGGCATTGTGACAGAGGGCTGCTTCCACGGCCCCAACAAATGGCATTGTTTAATCGAAGGCATCTAGAATGGGTCAAACCCACCCCGGATTGAACCAGCTGGGCAGATATGATGGGGGATAAGCACCATCCTGAATCACACTCAGAAGTAAAATGGCAGTGAGTGCAGCTAATAGGCAGGAGTCTTACATGGCTATGAGACATGCTCATCACTGCCTTCCCTGCTGCATTCTGTACCAGAGTAGTCTTCCAGGGCAGTCTCTTTACAGTGCATTGCAGCAGTCAAGCCATGACTTATTTATCTAGGAATAAACGTATTTTTGCCTCTTATCCAATAAGTAGTTTTAAAATGCAAAGTTATTTTACATACAGTGAGAATAAGACAGTTGAAACAGGTCCAAAACCAAGAATAACATGTGAGTCTTCCAGGATCAGCTTCTCAAATGTTTGCCAGACTAAGTCCTCTATTCCACTATCTGCATATACTCTGTAAATATTAGGGAGGGAGGGGTCATCTTCATCCTTCCTCTCACTGGTAAGATACAGACTGAGTTGCTTCTCACTCCTCTGGAATACATCTTTCCCTCCTGGAAATCCACCTCTATATTCCACTATACTGACCTTCCTAAGGTAGTAGAGAAATGTCTCAAATTCAGGGTCAACCTCCAATTAAGTCAACCCATTACTTTTGTGGACTTCCTCAAGAATATTTTAATCATTTAAATACAGTGGCAATTACTTGTTCTCCTAGATGATCCAAATCTGCATCTTATGTGATTTAATTTCTGACAGCATGCAAAGTTGTTCATGCTAGTGAATATCAATTAGACAAAAGGTATACTGAGTCTCCACCTTGTGTAGAAGTAGTATTTTGCTTGGCATTCCTAGAACGCTCTGGATCTAGACAGGTTAATTCCACGACCCTTCTTTGAGCTTAGAACAAACATGGAGCTACTTCACAACTGTCTTCTATTAGGTACCTGTGAGGAGATATAACCCTGATGAATAAACTCCATGCACCTAATGTTTTGCATTATATAATTTGGCAGAATTATTACACTGACCTATCCCAGTTAATATCTATATTCACTATAATTCCTAATACCTTTCTTAAACTGACATTATTTTTATTAAATGCCCACTTTCAACCAGCAAAAGTCTTCCAACAAGTTTTTCTCCCAAGCCAAATATAAACTATTGTGATTGTTGCCCAAGAATTACTTGAGCTACTTTCAAAAACTGTTTTTATATAAACAGCAATTCCTTATGTTATAACAAAATTCAAAGTCCTTGTTTCAGAGGCAATTGACAGAGTATAGTATTAAGGTCAATCACAAAAGAAAGAAGATGCAAATTTCAAATTTGTTCAGGTACTTCAAAATTCAAGATGTATATGATAAGTTTTTAGTTCTTGGCTTACAAAAATGATAAATTGCAACCATGTAATACTTAAGTGACAGTGAGGTAATGAACAAATCCACTTAACTGTATTTTCTAAATGGACAATTCAGAACCTGTAACACAGCAGTCAACTATGTTTTCTGAGGAAAAAGCTTAATGTACATGCCAAGTTTGAGCAATCATACTTTACAATTTAACTCAAGGCAATACACAACTGCTGCTCTGGAAGTTTCCTGCTGTGAAAGAAAACGAAGTCATTACTGCCCCTGCCAACCAAAACGGAGGGAGGGGAGTCTTAACAGCACAGTCAAAAACAATTTACAATATGACTAAGATGAAATATTCCAAAATAAAATGACTAGGCCCCAAACAAATTTCCAATAATATTTTGTTTGTCCTCAATTGTTATTCTCTCTCTTCTTTTCAAAATGGCGCATTAAATAGAAACAAACGATGTCCATCAGGAAATATGGGTCAGCTAGCCTTTCTGCCCTTCTCTTACTGATCTTAACTTGCTGTAGGAATATTATAACATTAACTCCAATATTGCAAATTGTTGTTTTCAAGATGGAGCCTGGATACTCTAGCACCGTGCCCCCCGCCAGCCAATTGTTGGGTATCTGCTGCGCATGCATGGGGGGAGACGCGTGCGTGGGCTCTGTGCGTGTATGCACAGAGGCATGCGATGTGCGGGGGTTGCGCATGCATGTACAGAGGCGTGCGGTGCAGGGGAATTGTGCACGCATGTGCAGAGGTGCGCAGTGCAAGCGCAGGTGGTCGTGTGTGCATGCACAGAGGAATGCGGTGCAGGGGGGTTGCATGCACATGTGCGGGGGCGGGGGATTCACGCACGCATTGCATCATGAGTGCAGGCACACGAGTGCGTGCACACGAGCACATTTTTGGCACACAACGTGGAAAAGGTTAGCTATCACTGCTCTAGCAATCCTAGTTCATTCAATATCTGATGATGAGTAAGACATAGAATTTTAAGCTTGTCTTAACATTCTCTTTACTCTGCAGATGAATAAACACTTCTTATATATAGAAGCTAGGCGAAGATATAATGTACTTAAATGTTCTCCCTTAACCTTTCTGAATATCTCCAGATGCAAATGGGATCACCTAAGAATGCACAATAAATTCCCTATCTTAATTCTTTTTTCATATTAAGTAAAAGTTGTTTTTTTAATCACCTGCTGATTTTTTATGGCTCAGAAGCCAAGGATGGGCCTGCTTAGTATTTGAATGGCAGTCTTCCAAAAATATTTGGCTTGTAGACTACACAGAGAAGTTTAAGACACCATCTTGGAAGAAAGCAATGACAAACCATGCCACAGAATCACCATGTTTGACCTAAGGGAGACTGAAAAGTTAAGTTTGGCTTCAATTTGTTTATTGTGATGAAGGTTTTTCTCTGGCCAAACAGCAACTCCTATAGGATGGATTACAGATATGTTAACGTAAAAATTAGCAACTTGTCTGCCTCTCAATTTTAAATGAGAATTCTTTGGAATTCACATGGGATCACAGGATGTAGGTATCTTGGCAATTGCATAAAAATGTGTTAAAAACAACAAAGTGTTTCTTTGACTCTGTGTTAATGTGAAGTGCAGAATGGATTCCATTCAAGCCCTCTGGCTGTGTACTCACCACCAGATGCAATCAAACATAACAGCAAGACAATAAAAACATATTAGTGGTCAATACTATTGTGCTGCTGGGCTAAACAACCTTGGCAGTCATCTTATTTCTCAATTCAGTTAAAATTTCAGGATAAAACTTTTCCAGGTTTTTTTTTTTAAGGAAGGACCCTAGTTTTTATATATTTTTATATTTTTCTTCCCTTCTACTTTCACTATAGAATAACTCAAACAGCATAGCTAGTAGAAAATTACATTTCAGATATACCTGATGTATGACTAGAACTGACAGCCATGCAGTTAATCTCTTGTCAGGATAATTAATAACATTTCCTGGAAATTAGCGCTCTGAGAGAATCAGGACAGGTTGCCCCTATGACTAAGATGTACAAGCTGGAAGGCAACGTAATCTTTGTAAGTCTTAGCATAATTTCATATAAGAATGAAATTGGAGAACTACTAAATTATGATATTTCATCATATGGTTAGAAATAGAAATATAATCATGGGGCTAGAAGAGGTCTTGGGGGTCTTATAGGCCAACTTCCTATCCAAAATAGTAGTTTCTTATTCCATCATAGATAATGATTATCCAATCTTTTCTTTAAAAATCTACATTGATGGAGCACCTACAGCTCTATGTTCTTCCAAGAACTAAAGGCTAGTCAGAATTATTAATCCACTGTTGATCATCAAATACACAGCAGAAAATAATATTTTGAAGTCCAGGAAAACACCTAGACAAGCAAACTGAATGTTTATTGTTGTAAATAGCAGCTTTTAAAAAATCAAGACGCCTAAGATTGAAGAAATGCTGAAATAATTGCATTTTTCTTGGCCTACCACAATAATAAAATCTGAATCTAGTACAGTATGCATGGTTCTCATATAAGCAGCATTAAGCTGAAAACAGTCAAAACTAATGATTTCATTATGAAATAAAAACTGTAAAAGATACGTTTAAAACTATAGATTATAATTAAAAAAAAAAACTGAAGACAAACCTCAGTGAAACAGATCCTG